AGTATTTAACTCTTAAAATAGTAACTGATTTATATATATATATATATATATATATATATATATATATATATATAAAGATACTGAAAATGGTAGGAAACGCATAGTAACTTATGCCGACATTTTTCTGAAAATGGTAGGAAACGCATGGTAGGAAACGCATAGTAAACAAGTGTGAAACAATTTCATAAAGTGCGGAATTCATACTCCTTTGTTTTTTCTTTCACTTAGTCTTGAAGACTGTACGCGTGATCGTTAATATTTTAATATTAAGAGTATGGATTTTATCTAATAAATTTATAGTGTTGTAAAAAAGGTGATTCGGTTTTATTTAATTCAGTTCATCACGACTTGGTAAAATTGAGTTGAGTTAATTTAATTCGACAAATAAGTAAAAGAATTCAAACTCAATCCAATTTATTATAAATTTGTGGGTTAAATAGGTTGATTTATTAATTTATTTTATTACAAATTTTTTTATTCAGTTAAAATAAAATAACAAGATTTTTATAATTTAAATATAAATAAATAAAAGGATAAGGGTTTTAAATTAAATTATAATCTATCAAATATAAAAATTGAGTTATTAAGTATAGAATGGTAAATTTTTCATGTTATTTATTAGAAAAATTAGGTAAATTAATTAGTCAACCCACAAACTCGATTCACCACGGGTTCAACCCAGGTGAATGGACCACAACCATAAGCTCTTTTCATCGTTGATTATACTTGTGTGAGTCGGTCACCAAGATAAACCATTAGCTCTATCAAGGAGGAGGTTCACCGAAGAGACACAAACACTAATAAGACAGGAGTCCAACCACATTGACATCACTCTCAACCAAAAATATGGATTAATGAGTTTTTCATCTTTATAAGATGCTCTACTTTCTCATTTCTATTCAATGTAAGACTTAGACTCATACTTAGATTCTCAACAAACCTGTATCAAAATTTCAATTTTTTTTTTAATTCAACTTGACTCAAACTCGTAGTAGGCCGAATTAACTAATGGATTTCAACCCATTTTGACAACAAGACTTTGCGGGATAATTGATTTATTTAATTTTGAAATATTTTACTTAGTTGGATTTGATTTAAATGTTGTTTATGATGATGAAATGAAATTAGGCTTACAGGAGTCCAAAGAAAACAAATTTGAAGTTACATTTATTTTTGTAACGAATGAGTTAGTTGCAAAGCAAGTTCGATTAGAAGACGTCAATAAGAAAACTAGGTTTCGTTGTGGTTAGTTTGTCCAACAACTCATTTCTCTTCACAAACAAAAACACATCACATCACCATCAATGTTAACATGGTCCCAAACAACTTAAACTTTTCTTTAATAAGGAAATTTATAATTTTTCAGAAAAATTATAAACTTAATTTTTTCTTATTTCAAATTATTTAATTTTACATATTCTGGTGAGATTTAACAATTTTTTTTTAATTCCAACAGAGTATTTTAATTATTACTATGTACAAAAATACCACTGAAAAGACAAGAGATATGAATTCAATTAAATTGCTATTAATTCTCATCCATCTAAGAATAAATTTATATTAATAAATAAAAATTTTACATTGAGAAACCGTTTTGTCTTAACAATAAAACAACTATAAAATTATCAATCAAAAAATAATTTTTTAGTATATATGTTGTCTTATATTTTAAAAAAGAAAAAACTGATTGGTTTGGATAAACAAATTCTAAAGGACATTAATAAAAAATATATTATCAATGTTAATCAAGAAAATTTCCATTACTGTTAGTCAAGATTACCTCGACTAAAAATAATTGTATTTGACATCTTTGTCCTTGAAAGCACTTGAGACGGTTAAACGAAAAAAATGCATTTAAATTATTTTTTATTTTGACTTCTAAGCAAGAGATTATTTAACTTATCCAAAAACTTATTATTTTCATGTAATAAATAACACTAACATGTCTCAACAAAAATATGACCTCAAAGATGATAATAACAAAAATCCAACTTTAACTTGAAATTGTTCATTTTGACAACAACCTTGTGTTAATAATGATAAGCCATGTCATCCTAATCAAGTTCATGTTCAATTAAAAAAATAGATTTAAAAAAGATGAATTTAAATCTATTGAAAAAGTTCCCTGATGCAATTGTAAAATGTTGAGAGCACTGATTGATTATAATCTTAGAGAAAGAAGTGTACTTAAGAAAGAAACAAGAAACAATAAGATGCATGAGTAAGTTGGTTAGTGTTGTCACATTGTTAGCATATTTTCTGCTGTCCTGTCATACTAACTTGCATAGTCATAATCAGACAATCCATGATTTTTATTGTTTCCATGATGCTTTTATCCACTTTTTTTTTCCTGCATAAATGAGTGCTTTTATGCATTTTTGTGTTCCTATTCATTTGCTGGCTATTTAATATTTGAAGAGATGGATAAAAGAGTTTTGAGGTGCATGGTATAAATGGAAGACAAGCTTTCTGGTTCCAGTGTGTGTCAGCTGTATTTGTCTCACTTTGATAAGTCCCACACCGAACAATCACTCACCAAACATATTTGCAAAGCCAACATTGAAGATAATCATCTTTGCCATTTTTAACTCCCCAGCCACTGCCTTAATTATTCTATCCAACTACTATCATATACAAGTTGCTTTACTTCACATAATCTTAAGACAACAAAATATATATATATATATATATATATATATATATATATATATATATATATATATATGTTATAAACTCTCAATATAATTTACCCTTATTAAAAATCATTGTAAATAAGCAAATACGAGCAAACAATTCCATTGTTTACTTTAACTATGGGAGTAGCTAAATTAAGAAAAAAAAATAATCATAAGTTTTGAACGAGCAAATTCGTTGAGTAAATCTTAATCCACCTAGCAAATTACTAAGCAAAATAAGCATCATTGAGATCAATGTAAACTTTGGGCAAATTTAATTTCGTTGAAAGAATAAAGGAAACTTGAGAAGACGATTTCGTCTAGAGCCTAATTTGCCAGACTTGAATAATTTAGCTCAACAAATCTTTCAAATAGAATGTGAACATATTTAAATTTGAAGATTTGTTTAACGAATTTTGTTTGATGAAATTATAAAAATAGATACTCCTTTGTTGTAAAAAAAAAAAGAAAAATATGATTTATTTTTAAATTAAAAATATTTCATCTATATTACAATTAATCCTGCTAAAACGTGTCACCTGATCCGGTCTATCCACGGGTTGACACTTAGTAAGTTAACTTAACCTAGTTCACTTATTAGTGAGTCGAAAAAATTTGAATCTGACCCAACCCACTACGGGTTGGTGAATTAAACGAGTTGAACTCGGTTAATTACAAGTTTTCTTTTTAAATAAAAAAAGTTATAAGTTTTTTTGTAATTTAAATATAGATAAATTCCACTCTAAAATGATGTTAAACTGCAAAACAAATAACATACAACTCAAATGTAATATAAAAACAAGCACAAAAAACGAATAAATAAATTTCTAATATTGATAATTTTTGTGTCATTTATCTATTTATAAAATTAAAGTATTCAATGGATAAATTATAATATTTTGCTCTCTTAAAACATTTTCTTCTTTATCCCTGTTTACAATCCAATAAAAAAAGTATTAACTAATAATATTGAAACACATATTAATAAATAATTAAACTAAACTAAGTGGGTTGGCGAGCTAATTCACTTCACTAAGCCAGGTGAGCCATGTTCTAAATTAATCGGGTTAAAAATTAATCTGTATAAAAGAATTACATTTTTTTAAATCTAACCCGACTCAAATCCATACGAGACCGATTTGAACCGCGAATTCTAACTCATTTTTATAACAGTAATTAGAATTCATAATATAATATAATGCAACAAGGGTTAGTTAGTGATTTAATTTATAGTATTCAAATTTGCATTCTTTAAATAATGCAATAAAAGAATTTAAATTGTTTTTTACTTTAATTTATAATTAAAAAAAGAGGACAATGGATAGTTCATCCTGCTTCATTTTTTATTCCATTAATAGATCAAAACAGATTGATAAATAAAAAATACTAACTTAACGTGTTAAATTAAGACGAAGTGAAATGCCTGTGGTTCCCTTTATTATCATACCATCATTGTTAATGTTATTTATTCTCAAACAAAATAATATTTCAAATCAACACTAAAACACATATTATAAAATAAATGTTCTAAAAGATAAAATATATGAAAATACTTATGTCTTTATATTTTAAATGATCTTAGTACTAAATAATTTTTTAATTAAATAAAATAGTGTTTTATACTTGTTTCTGCTGAATGGGACCGGGACGCTCAAGTCAGAATGGACTTTTGCAAGTCTATATAATTATCAAATAACAGAGAGTTTACCTTCTCCTTTGACTGCTATTTATATGATTTCAGAGAATATTACCCATTAATTTACCTTTTAATGGCTTTCAATGCACACTTTAAATACTCGACAATGACGGTTACTTCATTAACTACACATTCATGAGTATTCAACTGTTGTCTCCTGTCCACAGTTTTATACATCTCCCCAATCCGACATATTGTGCTTAAGAGATCCGATCGGACATATTAGGCTGGGACACCCGATCAGACATATTAGTCTTGCTTCCACCAACTCTGCATTGTCCAAACCTTTCCGATCGGTTGCCCGCCCTCAGTAGTAACAATAATCTTTTTTATATAAACCGTATTTGCCTATATTCAAACTTAAAATAGCAGTTGTAATCGTTTATCAAAAATTCATTCACATGCAAGACATTATTTATACTCTGTTCTGTTTAAAATAATTGGCCATGTGCGCTGGATTTAGTTAGAATCGAAATGTAACGGTCACTCAAATGATTAAATTGGAAAATGGCATTAGGGCAGGGAAAGGGGAAATGAGTGATGTATTTTGTTTTGGCAAGTTTCAATTTTTGTTAAATTTTTGTAAGATAACAGAATTTGTTGTTAGTTTTTGGGATATGAATGAGTAATAATAATAATAATAATATAGTAGTCAGAGGTGCATTTTGCAATTGCAGTCATCTTTGTCACCTTCTTCTTTCTTCTTCTTATTCTTCCTCAGCGAGTTAGTGAGTGAAGGAGTGTGTGAATATGAGCAATCCCAAGGAAGAAGAACCGTTTTCTAGAGCTGCAAGAGCAGCAGAAGATCTTTACCATCTTCGAGACACTTATTTTCCACCCAACCCCGATGACAGAATCTCCAAGTTGCAACACGAATCCGATCTCGCTCTTAATCTCCTAGATTCCATTCCCCCAGGTCAGTTTCTTTCCAATCTACACATAAAAACGTTTCCTTTTACCGCTTTTCAACAAAGGGTATCCTTCTCCCATGCTCCTTCAACAACCCGTTTGGTTTATACTTCATACTCAACCGTTGTAACGCGGGAGCTTTGTTTTGTTGTTTTTTTTTTGCTTTTCTGGGATTCTGGTTGAAGATTTGAAATTCAGGTTTTTCATGACTTCTATTTTGCTTTGCTAATAATGTGTGAAATGAAATTAGTCTTCCCTCCCTCCCCGTTTGGGGATGATTGCAACCAGTCTTTTAGGTAGACATGTCCGATAGAAGCATTCAGTTGACAAAGTCTATTCAGTGGACAATTGTTTAACACTTTTTTTTTTCTATGGGTCATCAGATGCACAAATTACCTGTATTTGTGTTAAACCAAGCATTTTTCGAAAGTAAGTCTGTGTACAAACATATGGTACGTTGTAATAGAAGGGCAACATTACACGCATGTTGGAAATCAAGAACATTTTTCTTTTCTTTTTTAATGTAAAGGATGTGTTTTAGAATTGTGTTTTTTTTTTTTTCAATTTTAGAAGGTATGGTAATGACATTAGCCTTAGTGATCATTACACCACCCTAAATATGTGAACTTTTATTTTATATGAAAGGATATCACTACCGAAAGAAAGGATATCATCATGGGGATGGCATAGTCTTACGTGAAGAAAGCCCCAGTGTCTAACATAAATTCAACTAGTTGAGACTGATCAGCCTCAACTAGCAAGAGTTGTTTCTAAATATCTATAGTCTGATGCTTTATAACAACAATTTAAGTCATTTCCCTTTAAGTTGGTTTGCTAGGAGGATCATATGATGCCATAAATTTCTGTCTTTTATTGTTGAGTAGATAAAAATTATTTACCTCTGAATCCCTCTTAATGATTTTGAACTACAGTTTTCTTTGGTTTCTGTCTTCCTTTGACTATTGAACTATCTTCTATCTAGTTAGCCCTCCATGGTGGTTCTTTTATGGGTCTTCTCCTCACATGCCCAAACCATCTAAGGTATATCACTCTGCCAACTTTTTTGCAATAGGGGCTACTCACCATTTCCTAATGCTATCATATTTTTGTGTATCCACTCATCCATTGTGACATTCTTATTTTTTCAATGTAATCTTACTTTCTTGTTGGCTCTTTAAAGTCCAACATGCTATCCCATGTAGCATTACAGGTCTTCTATGCGGTAATTTTTTCCTTTAAGCTTAGAGTGCTACTTTTTACCACATATCACCCATGAAACAATCCTCCATTTCATCCACCCTGCTTGGTTCTCATGGTAGAGGTCACTCTCTGTCCCTCTGATATTTTGTAGGATGGGCTGAAGGTACTTAAACCATGCTATTTGTGGTACTATATGTTTTCAACAATTACCAGAGTTACTGTGTTGTATCCCTCGATTAAATCCTTATACTTTGTCATACATGTACTTAGGAAAATCCATGTGTTTCCAGCCAAGGCTTGTCTCCAATTTTCATATCTCTAACTTTCCATTTACATCTTGTCCCAACTCTCCCACTAAGACTTTATCATGGTAGACTTCAAAAAGCATGCACCGTATCACTAATTCTTGAATATGTACCGTGAATATGCCCCAAGCCAAGATCAAAAGATAAGGACTCAAAGTAGGTCGTTGGTGCACGCTATGGTTATAGGAAAATCTTCTGTATGTTTACCTTTTGCGCAGTTGAAACTCCAAATTTCTCAGAGTGGCTTAAATTGAGCAATCTTGTCTTGATGCCTTTCTTTTGTTATACTGTCCATAGAATCTCTCTACGCTTTTTTCTCCAAATAAATAAAAAACATTTGTAGGTCTTTTTTGTTCCTCGTATATTTCTCCATAAGTGTTGGTAATGCTGTGATGCTTTATAGTATATGAAAAAATATGCTTGCAGAGAAACTGTTATAATGTTCCTATTGAATATTTTTCATATTTTTTTCTGCCCAGACTCACTTAGAAAATAGGATGACATCTTCCACTTTTTTTGCTTTTGAACAATGCTTCTGCTTATTTCTGATAAAGTTTGTTAATAAAATTTGTTGCATTTCCCAGAACAAAGAAGATCACCTACACAACGTGCAACATTTGAATATCTTAGGGGTAAGATGTTGGATGTATTTCCTGACTATAGGAAAGAAGCTGAGGATCATCTATCAAAAGCTGTAAGCAAGATTGAATTTTAGCTTCTTTGATTTAGTGTCTTTTTGTTGATGTTTAAATGATTGTAATGTACTCTTACATGGGCCAGGTCAAGTTAAACCCATCTCTTGCAGATGCTTGGCTATGTTTAGGAAATTGCATTTGGAAAAAAGGAGATTTAACTGCTGCAAAGAACTGCCTCAGTCTTGCATTAGACAAGGTATCAAGAGTATATTTTGTTGACTTCCACGATTGATACTACTGTAGCCTTTTTATAATATTTACAATTGGTTGCAGAGCTAGAGATTTCATACACCCTAATAATAAGTGACGGGCTGGAACTTGTTCATTATAATTTAATAAGTTTCCTTCAAATCATTATGTTTACAAAAGAATGGAGTTCTTATACGAACTTAGTTTTGTTTGTTTCCTCTGTTTTTGTTTTTGTCTCCTTGTTAACGGGGATGTTATATATTACCTATTCCTCCTATGTATTCTTTCCGCTAATTTGAAATAATTTTTTTTTATAAGAAATGAAAATAATGAAATTCAATATTCCCTTCTCCTTTGTGAAATGTTGGAACTAAATAGTGAGGCATTTTCCATTTCCAAACAGGTGGCAAAAGAGATATTCTTGAATCTGAATATTGATCTATTTCAAGGAATATATTTTATCTCCACTCTATTCCTGTCAGCAGTGTGCAAATTATAGTCTGCTTATTTCATTTAATGATCAATATATCCTGTAAATTTTTGTGCGGATAACAAGCATATATTCATTTGCACGGGTAGCAATTGTATACATTTTAGAAATATATATTTTAAAAAGAAATATTAAATTACATGTTCAAAATTGTATAGAAAAACTGAAGAATAATGTGCTAACAGTGTTACTGATGAAAAATTTGGATTGCTACTAATGAAGTTCAAAGTGTGAAACTTGAGTGAATGAAAAAACATGATGAATGATTTTTCTTTTTCCTGGAAATCCAATCCAATTCAAAGCCTTCTTAACATTTTACTAGAACATCCATATATTACTAGAACATTTTAATAATGCCTGTTAATAAATTAAGGAATAGAACACACATGTATCAAAGAAGGCTTCGATTAAATGAACCTATATTAATTTGTATTTGTATATCTGTTTTTAACAATGTTACCCGATTTTGAATCTTCGATATAATTGGAGCTTCGGTGACACTAAACTGTGAATATTTTTTTATTTGTTAGAATGACTTGGATAATGGTCTAGCAACAAGCGGAATTGTTTTCTATGCCCTTTTTTTAAATGCTTTAAAATCATTTCACACTTGCACTGTGGCTAGCCTGTTCCTTGAGAGTTAAAGTATTGCATCTCTTTGAAATCATGGTAATTTCTTAACATGATAGTTTGGTTCTTGTTTTCCTGGTATTAGATATGCATCTGTAGTTGATGCGCTTATGGGGAAAGACTATTATTTTTTAATACAAATAAGGGAAATTTACTGGAGGCCAATAGGCCATAAACGTTTTCTCGCAAGTCTCATTTTTAATTTGCTCTACTTCATATTCCATTTAGAGACATGATGAATGACAATAGGTATTTGTTGTCTCTGCAGGGTCCTAACAAAAAGATTCTTTGTCAACTATCGATGCTTAAAAGAAAAATGTCTCAAGGTAAGGGATACGTTTACATTTCTATTCTTTTGAAGATCATTTTTCCTTTTTACTAACTCCTAATTTGTTCAGTCATTGTAACTTGATTTTTCGCACTTGTGTATATAAAATGAAAGAGCCTTATGAATCCACATTCGTCCTGTGTTGACTTTTGTCGTAATTATACTGATTGGCATGGTTTTCTACTTTTACGAAGTCCAAAGCATCACATGATCTGTATAGCTGATCTCACATAATGGTATGAGGCTATTGTTGTGGTGGCGATGCTCAGTCTCTCATGATTTTCAAGAGTCATTAATTTTAATGCATTTTTTATGATAGACACATGCAGTCAGAAAAAATATTTGATTTTCCTTAAAAATAGGCTTAAAACCCTTCATGATGTTAGAATTGGGGAAACTGTGGACTATTTCCTCCTAGTGGAACAACATGTTATGATTGCTTGTAACTGTAAGAAATTTTTTTATTTAGTGGTCTCAGATGTGGTTATATTAACATGATAGTGACGCCTGAGGTTCTGGGTTGCATTGATTCTTGAGCATTTAATTACCTAAGGGTATCTTCAATGCAAGAACTCAATTTGGATTTTTAACTCTTTTACTAGGTATCTTATCCCCACCTGGGATTTAAGAATGCTCACTAAATTTACGCCAGTGATAGTAAAGAACTTGACTTCTCAACTTATTTGTAGTGGTTGTCATTTTATTTAATCTACTTGCAGAAGAACCCCCATTTTAACTTGGGAATTTTTTTTATGGTTAAGGAACAGTAGCTGTTAGTTTTGTTTGTAAGCAACTTCTGTATGAATTCATTTGCCCCAATGGTATTCCCAAGTTGCTTAAATTTAAGAACATGCGCAACTTCATAGGAGTTGCTCTATGTTACGTATTTAAACAAAAACACAAGTCAGAAACAAACCTATTGTGTATTATGAAGCTCTAAAATTTTTGTATACATGCTTGGATGCATATACATGAAAAGTTGGGGATGACAGTGCAAGGGTGGAGGAAAAGTGGGGCTGGTACGAATGAAGGAAAGAGGCGAATGTGCAGAGAGAAAGGGTATTCTAATTTGTAAATGAACTATGATAGTTATATATATTCATGTATTTAACCTTTTCATTTCTTTTATTTGTTGCCAAATTAATATCATAGGGGCCTTTTTTGTATTTTTGTGGATTAAAACAAGAATGGGAAATATTGGGATCTAATCGATCTCTTGCATTTGAAGTATGAGATTATTTCGTGTGTTTATAGGACTTTGTATTCTCCAGCTACTACAGTTGGCGTTTATTGTGTGATTGTCCAATGCTTCTGATAAACTGGCATCGAAACTTAAACTCCACCTTGCCTCTCAGCTGCAAATGAGCAACGTGGGAAGTGACACTAACACATTGCAATGTTTGCCTGGGGTCCAGGGCTAGTGCACAAACAGCCTGCATGGGTCCTGAGGCTACAAAATGTGCTGGGATGTTTAGGATCATTGCAAGATTTATAGGACTTATGTCCCACATTGGAACATGTGATTATATTGTGTGCCTTATATGGCTTCGGCCTTTCCAACTACAATTGACTGGCTTTTGTGGTATGGTTCTAGATTTCTTAATAGAAAACTGTCTAACACTGAGATTTATTATTGTGCTTTCTATGAACTCAGGTGTGGAGAATCAAGCAGAACTGGTTGAGGAAAGCATTCAACATGCCAAGGAAGCAATCACTTTGGATGTCAAGGATGGGAACTCTTGGTGTAAGCTCTCATATAAGCTATTACCATGACATTTTTAAAAAAAAAAACATCTGATTACTGAAAGCTATTTGGTCTATTCTCCAGTAGATTTATCTGTAAACATACAGTCAGCTCTAATTATGATGAATTGGTGATTGGTGTAAAGTTGCTAGTGATTAGGCTGTAAGTTATTTACGGAATAACCCCTTCATTTTTAATTGATGAAAATAAGTTACACTGTAAACAGTGGAGCAGTGCACATATTAGATACACATGGTTTCTCTCTAACACTGTTTCCTTAAATGAACAGAGATAATTGAAATCGAATATTAGTGTTGAGATATGGCTCAGATTCTGTTATATGGTTAGATTTTGAAAATACAATTTGTATTTATTATAGATTGCAAAAATGGGGTGGATCCGATAGGCTAGGTGACTTAACCCACCCCCGGCTAACCTGGTGGACTACAGCAGGTTGGTCTGGCCGGCTCTTTATTTGTATTTTTTTTTAAATGTAGATGTTATTAAGTGTTTAAGCTTGGGGTTCCAACTATATATATATATATATATATATATATATATATATATATTTGCTTTAAGTTTTCAGTCCTAATAAAAATCAATATTAGGTCCTTTAACTAAATTTTGTCTATTTAGATTATTTTATGAAATAAGAAACTTTCCTTTTTTTCTGTTTCTTTTGTTTTGTTTTTTGCTTTTTGATGGAACAGCCTATTGGCTCACGAAGTTGTCCCTAAGGTGGACCATATCTTTAGTCCACCAGTAGCTGGTAGGGCAGTTTGTCCTGATCCGGTATTAGCATGCAAGGGTAGGACAGGGCAGACTGACCTGTTTTATCACCTCTAGTATTTTTCTTAATAGCCAATTTTAGGATATTAGCTATATAGAATAATAAATTAATATTTTCCTTATCTTTAGCCTATCTTGTATCTGTGTATTCGTGAGTCCCTTTTACAGCATGAATCAGTCAGAGAACACAGTTCCTGCATATCCTTTTCTCTGATCTCAACCCAAGTATAAGAAACCAATTTTCTTTGTGCTATCTGTCCTAAGATACTATCAGTGGTGTCCTTAAGAAGTGTTTATAACTAAATAGAATACATGTGGGAAATCGAGCAACTTTAAATTTTCAGTATCTCTCTCTTTTGGTCCAAGTCTTGTTTGTTCTGACATAAGATGCAATCTCTGATCTTTTAATATCATCTATTCTGCTTGGCAGATAATCTTGGAAATGCTTGCCTTACAAGTTTTTTTGTCACTGGAGCTTGGGATCATACCAAACTTTTACATTCTTTAAAAGCATATCAAAATGCTGTGAGTATGAAGAGGGAAGATTTATAAATAGAAATTTATAATGTGCATACGGTAGAAATATATCTTACTTCTGGTCACTTTTGTTATACTCATTTCTACTTGGAGATTATTATTGTACGTAATATTTATTGGTGAATAGTATTATCATTTACAAATTGGAATCGAAGACCTAATGTTTCGTTAATATGTACCAGGAGAAAGATGAAAGAATGAAGTCCAATCCAGATTTATATTTTAATAGTGCTACAGTACGTGGAATCTTTGATCCTTATTCTGTGTTTCATTGTATTCTAGTATTCATTAAAGAAGAGTTTGACGTTGAATACGCCACCTTACTTTTCTCCTGTATTTTTACTGTCGTATCAGTTCCACCTTAATACAAAAAGTAATATTTAGACCCCAGTTATATAATAGCCACAGTGGCAACTACATTTACTGGGCATAAATAGTGCATTGAATATTGCTTTTTCGTGTTTCTCTTAATAATTTCTTACAGGTTAACAAATATCTTGAGAACTACCAGAGGGCCCTTAGTGGATTTGAGGCTGCTGCTTTAAAGGATCCAGGTCTCAATGCTGCAGAGGAGGTTCAGAAGATAGTCAGTTTACTTGACAAGGTGGACAATCTTTTGAAGGTAATGAAATGAAAATTTTCCTTTGGCTATGTAGTGGTAATTTAAGCTAGTAATTTGTTGAAGCATTATTCATAGGTTTTTTCTGTGGCTTGATATTCATGCATGGAGGATTCTTTTCATGATAAAAGCTGGTAACTTCAAGAAACATTAAAGTCCATTCTACTCCTCTCCCCACATACCAGCAATTTTTCTAACAGGTTGTAATCAACATATTAGAAGCTGCTGGTTTATAAATAGTTTTATTATGCACAGGGACATGTAAGAGCTAAGCGAATGACATCTTTGGCTTCGTCATTGGTTGCTGTTGATTGTAAGCACTTTTCTGTGAGCTTGGGTTCAGTTTGTGGTCCATCTTTAATTCTACTCGGCCTCTGCTTGTAATAAACCTTTAAATCTCTTCACTATACTGATTACTGACTTGACTCATGCCTACTTTTTGGTGCAAGTGAAATCGCCATACAGAAGAGTTACCATAGACCTTTTATCAGAGGGTCCAAATAGAGCTCTTGCAGTGGAGGGGAAAGTTTTTTTCTTTATTAGGACTGAAGGTGTTGCTCCCCTGTAAGTCCTCTACTCCTGAAAAGCATCTTTAACTATATAATGTCTTTTCCATAAACAGATCCTTTGAAAAGCTTCATTATATACCCAGGAATGACATTCCTGAGGTTAATATAACTGAATATCGAAATGTTTGGTTAATATTTGTCATTCACTGTAATGTTTTTAAATTTATTTTGCTAAATATAAAAATATTAGAAAAGGTAAAATAAGATGAAGGTTTACAAATCGTTTTATGATACAATGGGGGCAAGGAGGGAAAATTTCACTAGACCCTACTTGGAAAACGGGTTGATTATTTGAGTCACTCTGTTTTATAAAATAACTTCCATTCACATGGAAATATAAGATCCCCACCCTTACACATGGGACTATGAAAAAGGAAAATATGTGTAATATACATTCCTTAGAATGAGTCAGCTTGAGAATAATTTCTTATAATTTGCACCAAACATCAGAATGTTACATTCCCATACTCGCATCCTGCCAACAATTTTGTAAGACTTGAAACAAATATACTTGTACATTTAGAGGCATTTTCAAAATAATCCCTATTGTCTTTATTGGACATTTTAGAGTAAAAATAGAGCATCTAAGTTAGCACCTACTTGATAAAGTATAGCACTACTCCAAGGAATTGAGTACCTCTTAGAGAGCACTAAAGGTACACGAGAAGATAAAAAAGTAGAGAAGCACTTAATTAACCGAGCAGCATGTAGTTAACCATGGACAGTGCTATAATGGTGTACATTATTCTGAAAAGATTTGTAAGTTTAAAATTCAATTTTCTAAGAAAAACTTTATAGGGTCTAAATAGAAAATACGGAACCACAATTTTAGTTTTACCCAAATAAATCTTTTCCTGGTTCTTCTTGAAGTTATTTGTTCAAATGTATTTTCCCTAATAATATATGATTGTTAATATTTATTCTGTCTTATGTTTAAGCAGGATAAAATTTTAGATAAAAAGACGATAAATTTTGAATTTTCATTTCATAAATGACATAGTAAATTGGGGCATACAAGAACAATTCACTAGAAAATTCGTATGATTTTGTTTTAAAGCAAAATACCTGTGGGTAGTGAAAGGAATAACCAACCGAGACCTTAATGGCTATTTGTTGATAGTTCTCTTTCCATAAAGATTTCCCACGAATTGTTCTCTGTGTCAACTTTCACCCATGTTAATAACATGTTTTTACTGTCCACATTGTAGTGTGAAGATTACTGTATTTTTCCAGAAAAAGAACATATTTTCTTACCATTTATGTTAAAATGTCTTGGGAATTGTTGATTGGAACCAGATATCTTCTTGTCATTGCGCAGATACTATTTGCTTTGTGATTCAAATCATTCCTGCTTTGTTGTCTCGATTTATGGTGTACGTACTGATGTGGTAAGAACTGCTGCTGAACTTTTATTTCGATTTCTCCTATTTTCTTTTTCTGAAGTAGAAATTAATTGTTCTACCATATATTTCAAGGGTGGCAAACCAGTTGCATACTTCCTTGTTTCTCATGTCTAGTAAGATTTCGTCTAGTAAGCATATGGACTTCGTTCCTTTAGGGAGTGTCCATGAAAAATCGTCGTGTTGAGATGTTTGATAACCATTGACATTAAAAGGGATAAAAGAAATGACCAAATGATCATTGACAATGAAGTGTGCAGCTTTACTGGTTCTGATATAATTATTGATTATTGTTTTATTCGTCCTCTCTTCTCTTATTTACGTGAGTACTTATTATCTGAATAATAGTTTGGTCTGGTTGATTGTTTTTTTTTTTCCTATTGCCATGCTTTATCAATTGATTAGTTATAATTGAGTCCTTATCATCCAGATTAAAGAAGGAGATCAACTAACAATGCTTGATCCTTATTTTCGTGATGTTGATTTCTCGTGGAATGAGAAGGTACGCTTTCTTTAAAGATGTTATTTATTTAATGCCATGATTTGCGTATTCCTCCATGTGTTTGTAATATAGAACAATGCATTCTGATTAAGGATTTACCTTGCTTTTATGTGTGTTTTACAAAAGCATTACCAGTTCAAGTCTATACGCCTGGATTTCTACGAACAAGTACTTGTAAATGGAAAAGCTTTGACTCCTCAACAAGCTGTTCGTACGTCAATATATGCTCAACATAAACCCTGAAAAGGCCACTACTGAATTATTTGAGTTCTTCTTGTCTTCTGGCTGTTGGTGTTGGATGCTATATTCATTGAGTAAATAGATTGGTTGGTTGGTACATTTATACATGTGAATTCTGGTGGCTCACAATCTGATAATAGGAAAAGGAGAAACTTGAGAGGAAAGTGTTACATTTGGCTTTCTGTTGTCCATCAAGCTTTTACATCTGTTGAATATGATAGCTTGAAGATTCTTCTGTTTGTTTCCGATGCTTTTAACAGAAAGTTTTGTAAAAATCTTGTTTGTTGTTGTATCAAAGTCCATCTCGCAAATGCTTCATCTTTTTTTAATTTCTTTATCTCGGCAAGAAAAATGAAGGGGATGATAATGAAATGCTTAGAAACTTATCAACTTTCTTGTAATGTCAAACGGTCCACTGAAGAAGTAATAGCTTCACATTCTTTAGCAGAAGAGTTTCTTTGAGGAAGCTCAAAAGCTAAGCAAGAATCGGTGAAATGAAAGAATAAAGGCATTAGGAGGCTGTGTAAGGCAATGTGAAAGCGCAGTTTTGAATATATAGGAATTTGAGTGTGTTCATATCATAAATGGCAATTTCGCAGTTCTAAAACATTCTCCTCTGCCACCATTTGGGATACTTTCGACTAACAATTTGATTAATATGCTATAGCATTAGTTGAATGAATTTATTAGGCTTCATCAGGTTACTGAAAAACAACAAAATTTAATCACTCTAAAGGAACAATAACAAAGCTATGATTATGAGTTGAAACCTATTTTTCATATCATGCCACTTCAAAGTGAACAAAATTAGAAGAGTGGAATAAAAATATCTACCTACAGCTGAAAAAGTCTCGTAATCACTAATGTACACTTAAAAAAAGCACAGTTTTGCTAACCTGTTACAACTAAAATATAAGTTAGTATGTTTTCTAGTACTTTACATGTTATAACTAATTATTATCTTATTCTAAAAAAGGATTATCTTAAAATTGATGTTAGGAAAGTCTCTATCTATTTATCTATTTACAAATATGAACTTCAATATTATTGCTATTGAATTTCATGACTTATGAATAATTATTCTATTATCATTTGAAACAAAAATGTTCAGTGAAAAAAATTTCATTAAATTTTCCTTTTTTATGTTTTGAAATAGAAACTAATTTTGATTTTATGTGAAAAATAGTACATATATTGTAAGAGTCATTATTTATTAAATTATTATTATATATAAATAACTGAAAGTTTTTTGGCCAATCTTCTGATAAATATGAAATGTGTCCAGATGTTTGTTACGAATATGAATGTTGCTCATTCTTTTCCTTTATGGATTCACTTATTGACACTGCTGAAGATGTGAAGGAGCTCAGAATAAGTGGAGTGTTTCAAGACTTGCTTAGTGAGGAAGACTTGGCCAATCTTTTCAATGAATTGGGTAATGATTTACCGACTAAAGTATACTGTGATAATGTCTTCGTCTCCACTAATGTTGTGGCTTTCAGCAAGAAATTATAGCCATTAAGCAGCAAATTGAAAAACACTGCACAACTAAATGGAAGACATGGTTGGCTGAAGGTTACAATACTCATTTTAATACTCCTTGGGCTATGGTTGCCTTTTTGGCTGCAATACTAGCATTGACTCTCACTTTCATCCAAACCTGGTATTTGTTATTCCATTAAGGTATTTGTGTGACTTGCAAATTTGATATTTAATATTAAATCAACTCAATTTTGCTAATATAGTATAACAAACCAATTTTAATATTTTATATAATTAAATCATAATTAAAAAAATTGAAACTTATTTTAAAATATAGTTATATTTTAAGTTAAAATTAATTTATATACAAGTTAAAAATTAAAAATCATAAAAAGTAAGTATGTAAGAGAATTTTTACAATTAGTTTATGCATAATTCAATTTTTATTTGTGTAATTTATTTTGCTCTTTAAATTTTTTTTCAAAGTCTTTATGAAAAAATTTTCCAAACTTAATCAGAATAGTATATTATATTAAGTGGTATCTATTTAGTCAAAAACCATATCATTAATTAATTCATACTTTCAAAGAATGCCTTTAAAACTAGATTACAATAAATATATATATATATATATATATATATATATATTCTGAATTCATCTTCGAAACACTAAAGTATTCCATCAATATTAACTGAAGTCAAGAAAATTTTGTTTCTTAGCATCGGAAGCTGAAGTCAAAGAAGCAATGAACATACAACAGGTCCCAGAACAATGAACAAATTAGGGATCAAGTGGGCACGACACAAGTATTAATGCTTTATATTTTCTCTTCAGATTGAACTTAAATATGTGGGAGAATCCCCTAGTAAAGTACAAGTCCAACAAACTATACACAAGGTTGTATCTGCTTAATTATGCACAATCCAATGATGATGCAAAACAACACAAGCCATAAAAAACACAACACAACACAACATTCACGCTATGCAAAGGCTTCAAACAAAGGACCGAATCTCATTTATTTAAGGGATGACATCAGAAAAAGAATATTAACTTTATCCTACAAGATGTACGGATAAACACTATTGCTGCTTATAGTAACCACTTTGGTGAGGCGGAGGATATGGAGATGGAATTGTATAAGGAGGTCGTGGCACAGAGCCAGGTTGCTGTGCTTGTGCATTATAGTACGGACCACGCCATCCTGGATATGCTGGCTGGCCATACTCATGGTTTCCCGGTGGCTGCTGGTGAACCTGAGGGGGTGGGTATGGAGCAGTTGATGATGGTGGAATGTGATATGGAGGTGGAGGCTGATGATGCGCAGGACCACCATACGGGGGAGGTGCATGATGGCCATAGGGAGCAACTGGTGGCTGCTCAACTGGCTGATAATAAGGTGCTTGTGGCCGAGGATCTGTTTGTGTACTGGCTCTTTGATTTTGGCTTCCAACTGATGGGTAGTTGCTGTTAAACGAAGCACCTGCGTTTTTGTCCTGGAAACTCAGACCAGCCAATTGTCTCTGAACATCCTCAATCATTTCCCTGCACTGAATGTTCCTTGTCATTACAAAGTCGTTGCTCTGCTGCTTTACGTTTGTGATTGCATCCTACCAAACAAAGGAATTGCGTATTATTGCATGATGATATTCAATTTAAACAGTATCATCCAACCATGTCATTCAGAAAATTTTAGGAGAATCTAAATTAGCATTAGCCGAAGAAAGACTGCATGCCTACATGTATACTATTTTAGATAAATATAAAGGCAAATGGGATATTAAAGGGGAAAAAAAAGAATAAATACTAGTAGTGGTTTTGTAGAAGTTATACATTTAGAAGGAATAAGTGGAGGAAAAAACCAATAGAAAAATCTCTAGTGATTTGTGGAAGTTACAAAGTTAATGAATAAATAATATAATCAATCACTTAATAAAAAGAAAACCACTTAAGGGGCAAGCATGTCTTTAAAAATATGCGTATAAATTATGATGTCCCCTTTCAATTATCAGCAATAGATAAATGACAGCATGGAATCAATTACACTGATTTTGGATAAAGAATTTTAAAAGAGTAATTTTAAGACAAAACATGTTGAGTTAGTTAGGGCTTTCTTAGTAAAAAATAATGGTTTTTTCAATTCATGCCAAACATACTTTTTCAAATTTATGTCATCCATTTGAGTTACTCTTTTATACGACGCATGTGGAAGTTATTTCTCATATCAACATTAGTCAACATCTTCTTGACCAGTTTGGGGGGATTACTTTACAACTGATGTTAACTGGAATTCTTTTACTAATCTTAATAGGAATGTTTTTTATTATTTATATTGTTAGGATTATCTTTATTGTTGTAGATCATTATTATTTCTCACTCAATATTAGTTAAGGTTTTCTCCAAAGGCAATTTGTTTACATGAGCATGATTTTTTTGTTGGCATTTGCGTGATAGGTTTTTAGGAAAAAGCTATTTTGAGACAACACTGTTCACAAATAACTCCCATTTGACACTTGTTTTTCTCAATAAAATATTAATTAATTTGAGTGTCAAATGGAAGTATTGGTGTGAAAGTATCAATTCTCATTTTTTTATCATTGTCTGTATTGATTTCTTTTTATTAATCACACCCAATGTTATTATTAATCAACAATTTGTTAAGAATCTTTTATAATGTTAATTGAGAAAACTCAGTAAAAAATGATTGTAGTTGATATCAACTAAAAAATCTTGACCAACATCAATCTAGAAAAAGCTTTGCTAAAGTGAGGAAAAAAATATCATAAAATGTCAGTTAAAAATATCTTAAAGAACTTTAACCGAAAAATAACATCAATCAAGATTGACTAAAAATCATCAACAATACTGATATTTTTGAATTATTAATAATTATTTAACATTTAAATATTTTTTGCATTTGGTGATAATTGAAAATTTGTATCCAAAAAGGAAATTAAAACACAATAAATTTAAATTATCTTATCCAAACAAAATATTTGAAAAATAAAATAATCTGGAATGAAATCAATTCAAATGCAACATATTTAAATGTCTTAAAAATTATAAAATTTCATATCCAAAAGCAAATTTAAAGATTCAGTATGTTCTTATAGAATAGAATAAAAACCATATATGTAGTTGATAAGTTCTTACCTGCAGCGTAACATAGAATTTTAACCCTTCATTGATGTTGTCCTTTATTTCTCGAAATTTTGCAATGGCAGCTTCAATCTGCTTGTAGGCTTTTTCACGTGAAGCTGAAATAAATTAAGAAACTATCAGAACATAATATGTGATGCAGGAAAGGTGCACTCGAATTGGAGCATTGTGTACAAAAAAGACAAAACTGAGTTTCATGAACAGTAACAGTTGAGAAAACTTCCGGTCACTGGCTAGTTATAAAATTTTATGTACAGTATTAAACATAGTCTGAAAACAGACTTGGCTTTGTCATCATGATGCCAAGGTACAAAAACCAGATTCAATCTAGAAAACAACCAAACGCCGCCTACCTTTGTAATCTTCAAGATTGAAGATAGCAGAGAACTCATCATTTTGAGCCTGTGAACAATGACAATCAATTATCAGAATCACATCATTAAAATTTATCACTTCGTCTATCCACAATCACCTAGAAAAGAAGTATTCAAAAACCAATACTCTACAGTGAATAGGTATAATGGTAGATAAAATTAGTCACTCTTGCCTTCACGGCAAGGTCCACCTCTCAAGAAGCATGAAAAACTAAAGAAGGTAGTTTTATTCGCTGCTAAAGTAGTCTCAGGAATTAGTTATAGTGGTAATCAAGAATATAAAGTATAGTCGCCCTGAA